GCCCGGGACCCGCCGTGTCCCCGGCACATCACTCGGGTGCCCCCACCCAGGCTCCCGCCACGCCCTCTGCACATCAGGGTGCTGGGAGGGAGGCGATCGGCCGCCTCCGCAGCACTTTGTTCATCCCAAGCGAGCTGTCGTTTTCCAGCCTCCTCCCTGCCAGCAAAATGCTTCCTGACAGCCCGTTTAGAACTCAAAGCACCCGATTACCACCACGGCCAGTGAGCTGCTCACCGATGCCAAGAGAAACTCTTCCATAACCCCCCCCTGAAACTAAATCCCTGCCCATAGCATCACTCCTCGTCCTTCCCAGACCCACCCGCAGCTGGGGGCTTGCTGGGGGGTCACCAGAGTCCTCCTCGAGCTACTCCAGGTCCAGCTCAAGGGGACCCCATGCTTCCATCACCGAAATGCCAGCTCCTGCTTCCCACCACCCCAGCAGGGCAGAGAGCCGTCCGCCCCGGCTCCCTCCACCTGGCAGGGCTGACCCCAGCCGTCGCCCGAGTCCATTAGCGAGTCCCTGGAGCACACACCTCGCCGGCGTTTTGCTTCACCCCGGCTTTTAGGGAGAGCTGCAGAGCTGCGCCGTCTTTCAATTTTTAATTTGCTCTAAACATTTTGGTTGTCTCCCACCGCCCACCCAGCCGATAACCTCTGCCGGCAGCACCGCCACCCCATAGCTATGGAGGAGGGAGAAGAAGTCAGCTCCGCTTCCAGCTGCTCCAGGGGAGCAGGACCCCTTTGCACATGCATCCGAAGGGCATCCCTGCCAGGCGCTCCAGTGGAAGGGCCCCCAGAGCCCCGTGGAGATGTTCCTCAAGGAGGACAGGGGGACCCCCAGCCCCTCCAAGAACGATCCGACACCTGCAGAGACCGGGCTGTCGCAGAGCAAAGTACCTTCCTCCTCCTCATCAACCACCTCCGCAGGGCTGAGTCCCTCTGAACTTCACAGCTTGCTCAGATTTACCCCGACACGGCAGCACGTGGCCCCGGCACAGCCACCTCTCCTTCCCCACTGCCTAGCACCGGCACAGCAATGCCCTGCAGCAGGGACACGAACACAGCATCGCTTTCCAGTCCTCGAGGCACCTTTCTCTTTTTTCACACTGCCTTAAGCAACAAATGTCCAAACAGGGACCCGCTGGGCATGAGAAACGAGACCTGAGCTGCTCTGGGAAGGGAGGTGCCACCGCACAGCTGGGAAGATCAGCCCAGGTCACCCTGGAGCAGGGGAGCAGCTCTGGGTGAGCTTTCTGCCCCCCAGTGCTGGGAGTTCCAGGCTCAGTTCTGCATGC